TCTAGAGCCACATGTGTGATTTGGTTAGACATTTTATCATCTTGGGCTGGGTGTGGTGGCTCATGTCTGTAATCCCAGCACTTTGGGAGGCCGGAGGCAGGCAGGATCATTTGAGCCCAGCAGTTCAAGACCAGCCTGGGCAACATGGCAAAACCTCATCTCTACTAAAAATACAAAAATTAGCTGGGCATGGTGGCATGTGCCTATGGTCCCAGCTACTCTGCAGGCCAGAGGACTACTTGAACCCAGGAGGTCAAGGCTGCAGTGAGCTGTGATTGTACTACTGCACTCCTGCACTCCAGCCTGGGTGACAGAATGACAGAATGAGATTCTGTCTCAAAAAAAACAAAAAAAGAAAAGGAAAAAAAAAAAAGAAATTTTAACATCTTGGAGTCCGTTTTCTTTCTTTTCTTCTTAAGAGTAATACTGAAAAGGAACAAGGTGTAGGAGCGAGCCATCATGCTGGGAGCATAGGAATGAGGTTCTGTTTTTGTTTGTTTGTATGTTTGTTTTTTTTGAGACAAAGTTTTGCTCTTGTTGCCCAGGCTGGAGCACAATGTTCACTACAACCTCTGCCTCCAGGATTCAAGTGATTCTCCTGCCTCAGCCTCCCAAGTAGCTGAGATTACAGGCACGTACCGCCATGGCCAGCTAATTTTTGTGTATTTAGCAGAGACGGAGTTTCACCATGTTGACCATGGGTTCTGGTTTTATCCTAGAGTAAGCATGCTTTCTCAGTCCTGTTTCTTCCACTGGATCCTAAGTTCTTGGAGGACAGGGGTGGTATCTTTGCTCCTAGTGGCTCAGAGCGTCTTGATGACCAGAAGCAAAGTGAACTCATCATGGACTTTGACCTCAGACAAGTCCTTGAATCCTGCTTCTCATACCGGCCAGCTGTGTCTCTCAACAATCTGAGCTTCAGTTTCTTCATCTGCAAAATTAGCAGCTGTTGTTGCTGTTGGGAGGATGAAAAGACAATGTAGTATAAAGTGCCGGCTCAGACCTGGGGCTCAGTAAAGGTCGCCCCCTTTCCCCTTCTCACACAACTGCATTTCACCACTGCCGAGATCTGCCTATACACTCTGAGGCTGCAGAGTTTTTCTCACAGAATCTATGCAGCCAAAAGTGCCTGTGGCGGGATAAGATGTATCTTTAGCCACCAGAGTTGCTATGTTTGGACTTCACGTGTTCATCTCTGATAAGAACCTGGAGTGCAAGCTTCAGATCTTTTGGTTGCTAGGGTGCTTGCTTGGATGCCATTCCTTGTTCAAGTGAATGACGTGGCAGAGGGATGGCAGGTGGGGAGAGTGAGGTGATAGAACAGAAAAGAGTCCCTGGATCTCATCATGGAATACAATTTGCAGTCACAAGGAAAAGGACTCAGTTTTCTTTCTTTCTTCTTTTTGTTAAAGGTAAGTGAATGTGTTATTTGAACAAAAGACAAGTTCATCTGATGCAGCTGCACTGGATTCTCTTCCTCTGCCCCTGCCTATGGTCTTTTAATAGATGTTCCTGCTGGACAGTTCAGGGACAGGATTTAGAATGGCGACTTTATGCATCCAATGTTTTCTAATAATTCCGGCAATTCATAAAAAAATTATAAAAAAAATACTTCCCAGCCCCTACCCTGAGTAGCTGGGTGGAGGAATGACTAGTTAAGAGCATGTAGTAGCATGGACCAGTTCCTGGTCTAGTTCTCAGACTTGTGTGTGTGCATGTATGCTTTGGGGGTGGGGAGGTTGTTTACTAGGGAGCTAAACTGTCTAGTTCAAAACCTGGTTCTGTGGATGTTTTTCCATCTTAAATTATCCTCTCTTGTCTTGCAGAGCTAGTCCTATTCTTAGGACGGCCTTCCTAAGCTGAGAGGGAGATGGCTGTGTATCCTGCCAAACTACCCTGTTAGCTTGGTTGGATTACTAATGAGGCAAGTTTTTTTTTCTTTTTAGATGAAGTCTCACTCTGTTGCTCAGGCTGGAGTGCAATGGCATGATCTCTGCTCACTGTAACCTCTGCCTCCCAGGTTTCAGCAATTCTCCTGTCTCAGCCTCCTGAGTAGCTGGGATTACAGGTGTGCACTACCACACCCCACTAATTGTACTTTTAGTAGAGACAGGGTTTTACCATGTTGGCCAGGCTGGTCTCGAACTGTTGACCTCAAGTGATCCATCCACCTCAGCCTCCCAAAGTGCTGGGATTACAGGCATGAGCCACTGTGCCCGGCCACGGCAAGTCCTTGAACCCTTCCTAGCTTCAATATCTTCAGTTGTAAATGAAGATAGTCCTTATTGCAGGTTATGAGGATAAGTGAGAGAGTGCACCTAGGACAAACACCTAGGACAGAGCCCAGCAGAGAATAAGTATTGTTATCATTTGGGGAATTTGAAGTCCATTTACATTCTCATTGGCAATGTACTGTAAACTCTTAGATCTCAGATATAAGATCTGTAATCTTTGGAAGCAGTGCTACAGGCATTCCAGCTGCTATGCAGGGCAGGAGTGCTGTGGTTCCTATTATAACAATATCAACAATAGGCTGTCATTTACATGCATAAGATCAGGTCTACAACATATTTGCTGTAATATATCCACATCAGGAGGGCCATAGAGAAGACTTTTTTCTCATTAAAAATATCTATTTAGCGTTTACTGTGTGCCAGACCTTCTTCTGGGTAGTAGGATGTTGCGGTGAATAATGATCATGTCTTCTGTTACGGTACTGCTGTGGCAAGGTACGAAACAGGCCAGAACCGGTAGCAGGTGTACTGGGGTAAAGCGGAGTTTCATTCAGGTCGTTGATTTGGACAAAGAATATATTTTTTCTACTTCCATCCCCATACAGAAACAGCCTGCAATACATTTTACCTTTCCAAAGAGGCAAAAGAGTGATACTTAACATATCATATGGATAATAAGGGCTCATTATTGTATTTTTGATGGTTCTGATCTTTTTTGGATTAAATAAATTATATATAATTATTTATCCTGAGAAATAGTACAGGTTGAAATATAGACATATGTTCAAGAAATACACTGGTAAAAAACATGTGGCTGATTAAGGGTGGGAGAAACTCAGAAATGCTGAGGAGACACCCAGTGTGATAGGATAAATAATGGTCCCAGACATAAGTCCACATCCCTAATGTTCAGAATCTGTAAATGCTACTTCATATGTAGTCTTGCAGACATGAAGGATCTTAAGATGGCCAGACTATCTGGGTGGGTCCTAAATGCAATCATGCGTACTTATAAGAGGGAGGCAGAGGGAAATTTGACCACATACAGAGGAGAAGGTAATATGAAGATGGATACAAGGATTTGAAGATACTGGCCTTAAAGCTAGAGTGATGCAGTTACAAGCCAAGGCATGCTGGCAGCCACCAGAAGCTGGAAAAGGGAAGGAGCAATTCTTCACTAGAGACTCCAGAGGGAGCCTGGCTCTGCTGCCACTTTGATTTTGGCCTAGTGATACTGCTTTTGGATTTCCAGCCTCTAGAGCTGTGAGAGAATAAACTTCTGTTGTTTTAAGCTGTCAGGTTTGGGATAATTTGTTACAGCAGCCACAGGAAACTCACATAGCCAGTCGCTTTGGATTAATGACGGGAAAGATGACCACTGGCTACTTCGTTAACCAACCATCTAGTATACATTCTGGTTCACCATGCTACTTCTGACTTAATGTCCTTTATTCTCCTTTTGCATTCTATAGAATGCCAGGTGGCCCATACCTTTTCTCTTAAAATGTTGATTTCTATGTCAGTGTTTTGGTGGTGGATGTGGATAAACAGTGGGATCTCCCTATTTTCTTCACAGATACCTCAGATAATTTCAACACATGAATCAAGTTGGAAGGTATTAATCTAGGCAAGGGATGCAGAAGTGTGATGACTTGCTCTATAACAGAGAATACTACTTTGATGACCGGCAGATGGATATCGTTCAGATCTAGGATCTCTTTTCCTTGAATAAAGGGAGAAATAAGCAAAGCCTTAGGTTTGATTTGCTTTTCTCTCTTGTGCTCTGTGCTGATCCTGCCACTTCTCAAGGCCTTGATAAAATTTACTCTGATGAGGTGATCTTCATTTGTTCACTACAACTGACTGGGTGGGCCATCAGCTATAGCTTCATCCTTTTACAGTAAGATAACATGATATATGTTGTTACAACACGTTTGCTTAAGTTTAACCCCGTTGCAGGAATGATCGTTCATAATTTTTGGGGTCTCTCTTTGGATTGGGGCATTACGTTCAGATTCTTCCTGACTTCCTTCTGAGGATCACTTTATCTTGAAGTGCTCGAGGCTCCAGGCAAAGCCCAACCTTCCATTTCATCTCCAGCCTGCGCCTCTCCTCGACTCAACTCATTTTCACCCACGTGCTAGGCTTCACCCTTGGATGTCGAAGAGCCATCTCGAGGTCCACCCAGTTCATCTTCATCAGCGCATCTGTGGTCGTCCTCCCCGCCGTCCATTTGCGCGCCCGCTTGTGAACAGTAAGCTCCTTAAGGGCAGGGCTCTCAGGCGCTGCCCTGGAACAGCGCGGGCACAGGGCGGCCGCCGGTCACTGCTCCCGGGTACCCGGGCAGCAAATAAACCCAGCTGTGTCTGCCTGCCTGGAGGTGCATGTTTTTGGGCGAGGCTGTACTGGTCCTTCTGACACCAGCGAAGTATAAGGCCTATGTTTATGTACCTGTCAGATGCTTAACGACCTCCTGTGGTAGACATGCCCTCCCAACACCTCTTCCAGTCTTTTAGATTCTCTAAGAACCTCTGAACCCCGCTTGGGTGCGGTAGGACCTGCCGCGACGCCGACCGCCGGGGCACCTTCCCAAGGCGCCGCCATGTATTCCGCAGTGACCTACCGGGGGAGGCCGGGTGGTAGCCCTCGGGCGGCGGCGCAGGGCCAAGGGCCGGGCTCTGGGGTAGCGGGGAGGCCGGGGTCCGGGGGCCCCGCAGTCCCGGGTCCCGCAGCCCAGCAGTTTCGCAGGCCGCTGCCGCGCCGCCCGACGTCACTTCCGACTGGAGCCAAGATGGCGGCGGCGCGGCCGCGGGCGCCGGAGCCGGCGGAACAGCGGCGGCGGCGACGGCCCTAGTTGCTCTGAGGCGCGGGCGCGGGTAAGGAGCGGCGCGGGTGGGCGGCCTCTGGGCCGGCGCCGGGACGCTGGTCCCTCCCCGCGAGGAGCGCGGCGGCGGCGGCGACACGCAGGGGACCCGGCGCCGCAGGGATGTCCCGGCCGGCGGACGCGCCCCCTCAGCGGTCCCCGGCGCGGCGGGGGCCCCGGGACGAGGCGCGGGCCTCCGGGTCGGTGGCCCCGCGGGTTGGTGGCGGCGCGGGGTCCCTCCCTGCCGGCGTGGGGTTCCCCGCGGCGAAGTTCGGGGTTCGCTTTGTCGCCGTGAAGAGCCGCGCGCCCCGCGGGGGACGCGCGCGGGCTGCGGCGACTGGTCGAGTGCGGGCGGCGGCGCGGCCACCTGGGACCCCACGTGGGGCCGGGCGCCGTCCCAATTGTCAGGCCGCTGTGCTTTTCTCTTTTGTGTTCCCACTGAGTGTGTCTTGCACATTTGCATTCCTAATTTGTTTTGTGTCTTTGTGTTTCCCAAATAGTTTTTGTGTGGTTTAAACCTGGAGATTGTCTCCCTCAGTGTTCTTATAGACCCACGGGTGTGTGTGTGTGTTACAGACGTGCACCTCTATGTTATTAATTTTGCTACTGAGACTTTCAATGAACCTCTTTTGATGGGGCCAAGTGAGACATGAAATAAACCTAACAGGTCAGTGTTATTCCTAAACCTTGATGGTTCTTTTGATCCACGCGTGAACCACCGATCCCCGGGCTTGTAGCCTGGTGTCGGGCTAGGAGCTGCGGCAACGACCCCACAGTTAACCCGAAAGTCCTTAACTATGCAGCTGAAATTTCCCCTAATAGAAATTTCGTGCTGGCCCCTCACTTTTTGTGTTGTATTGAGGTTTGGGGTGTACTTGAGACGTGGAACCTCTTTTGCTGAATGTCAGTAGGTCCTTAGATCCCTTTAGCCAGACACTAGAACACATATTTTTACCCCAGAACTGGACCAAAATATTTCTTTTAAGTTTTTGTTTACTCCAGTTTTATTAAAAGTGACCGAAACTTTTAAAACAAATGGAACCCTTCAATGAACAGACTGCCTCGGTTTGATCGGTTGTGTCCAAGTATAAAAAAAATGTAGGCCTTTTTTTAAAAAAAAAGGTAGGAAATTTACTGTACCTATATTATTTCATGAACTGAGACCCATAATGATAGGTTCTTTTTTATTAGGGTTCTGTGTTTTTGAGATGGTCCACAGCCGCCTCATCATTCTAGAGGCTTCCGGACTAACACTTACTGGTCAAATTTTTGCGCGTAGAGTCTTCATTTAGCCTGGAGAGGACCTTTAAAGATCATTTTTATTAAATCTCATTTCAAGCTATGGAAACTGAAATCAAAATTCATAGTGGAACTAAAACTCAATTTACATTTTCTCTTTTTACTCAGCACATCTGTTTTGGTTTGATTGAAATAAGTTAATACATTTTAAGTGCTTAGAAAAGTACCAGAACATAATACCGCTCAGTAAATGTTCGCTTTTGTTGATTCTGACGGTGGTGTCTTTAATTGAAAAGTTGGTATGTTCAGGTTTGCTTTTTCCTTATTTTGTGGACGTGGCCTGAAACAGTACAGTTTAAATCTGTAAGAATGTATTAGTTTTGTAAGTACAAACCATAACAAAAGATTCTTATTGTAGAACAATTGGAAAGTAGAGAAAAGTACAAAGAAGAAACAACCTTCCCCTTCTTCAGATAACCACCTAAGGTTTGGCAGGTCTTCCTGTCTCTCTTGGTGTGCTTATGTGTATTTCTTTCCTTATTTTATAATTCATTCATATATATATATTTACATTTTATACAGGAGTGATAATACAACGTGTATATTGTTTGTAACCTGTCTTGCCTTGTGATATTGTGAGCATGTATCAGTGCCACTAACCATTCAATATTATGCTTAATGGCTATTTAATATGTGGATGGGCTGTAACGTCCATATTGCCAGTCCATATTGCCAGTCACGTCCATATTGATCTGTAAGGTTTCTCAAGCCTGAGATTTTTCTTTTCATTAAGATTTGTTTGAAAGTTTGTTAACATTGTGGGTTTTAAAGTTCTGTGATCTTTTGAGATTGCAGTGAAAAATGTAAATTCTGCTTTTTAGCATCTAAATACACATTTTTCTTGCGGGTGTAGTTATAAGAAGTAACACTCAATTTCAGCTCCCTTTCTTCCCTTCTCGGCTGTGGCTGTGCAATTATGTACATATATCTGCACACATTCTTTTGATGATTATTTTACGTTAGATGTTTATTTATTCATGGGACTGTTTCTTTAAGCAGCGTGTCCCTTTTCAAGTTCCAGATCTGATTTACAACCCCTTTTTAAGTCCTGTTAAGTCACAGACTTTCCAGGATGGAAAGCACCTTGGGTTATTTACTATTTTCATGCCTTCTGAGTAGTTTTACATGTTATTTTTAATAACCATGAAGAAAAAAAACCAAAACCATGGACCTCTACTAGAAAACTCCATAATGGGGAGTGGAAGAGGAGTAGGTAGATAGTTGAGGGAAAATTGTCAAACTTGCTCGGTGATGAGGTAGCTAAGGGAGTTTCCAGATGATGAGGGACATCACCTGACCATCCTTACCATGGATATTGCTGCCACGTGTCCAGGGCTTCATGGTTTGTACGCTGCTTATCAGCTATGCTGTCACCTATGGTTACAACATTTGTTTAGAGGCCTGGGGTGGTGAACCATCTCTCTATTTTTGAAGCTACAAGTTTCTAGTTAGAGCTGTAAAAACCATCTTCACAGAATGTCTGAAAGTGGTGGACTCCATTACTGACAACAATATTGGGTTCCATTAAAGCAGGATTTCTCAACTTCTGCACTTACTGATATTTGGGTTGGATAATTCTCTGTCCTGTACATTGTAGGATATTTAGCAGCATCCCTGTCCTCTATCAAGGAGATGCCAGTAGCACCTCCTTCGATTGTGACAGCCAATCAAATCTCCAGACATTTCCAAATGCCACTTGAACCGCTGCAGTGAAGGAAGGCTCATCTAACTGTATGGTTGAATTATTGAAGCAGACTATTGAATCCCTTTAGTTTAAGAACTGTAAGAATAGACTAGGTGGTTTACACCTTGAAGCCAAGAAATAGACTTCCAGGTCTGTCCAAGTTCCTTTCCACCTTTGGTTTTGCAACTTTATTGAATGGTCACTTTCAGCACTTCTGCTTCAGCCTCAGTTTTGTGGCGAAGTAAAGCAATGTGAAGTCTCCTGGAGATCATGAAGGAGTTTTCATGACATGGCACCAGCATTCTTAGTATGCAGATTAAATTATGAAATTCGAATAAATTTGCATAGTTGATGCATGGTGAATAATTTAAGCCTGTCGACCATTCTGCTGAAAAGCGCAGAAACAGCTGGCTTCTAGAAAAGCAGACTTGGTCCAGCAACCCCTTGAAGATTGATGGTAGAGGCTAAACTGTAGTTTTTCTGAAACCGTTTTTTTTTTTTTTTTTTTTAAAACTGCCAATTTGAGGTTATGCACAGAAATGGTGAATTAGCCCTCAGGCAATAAGGCTTTCTTTTGAAGTGCTTACCTAACTTTAACTTAATACATTATAATTTAAAGACAGTTCATTAATCTTCTGGAAAACCTGCAGCATTAATGCAGCTTTCCTCTAGGGCGGAATTATAAGCTGCCAAATCCTTATTTGTAATCTTTATAAGTATAGATAGTATTGATTGAATTTTTATTGTGGCGTACCTAATCGTTAGCCAGAATGTATTGATAAATAAAACATATGCAAAGAGATGTGCTTTTGGAGCCACATTTGGTAAGGGGTGGTTTTTTGAATTACAGAACATCTGTATAATTTCACTGGAATGAATGCATGTGTCGTTTAAATATTCTTTCTTAAAGAGAATGCCTTTCATTCCCCACCCCCACGTTCCTGAGGCATGAATTACAGTTACTGTATGTAGTAAATCTGGCTCATTTGGAATGAAATATGCTTATAATATTTTTCTTAGTACTGTATAGTATTTATTCTTAGAGTCTTGGTTCATGTCATGGCTATACTGGGTTTTCATTTATTAGTCCTCTGGAACATGCAATAAAGGAGATTTTACTGAATGCTTATTTTCTAGCCATTTTGGTGAAAAGAATATTTTGTAGCTCTTGCAATAAATCATACTCTGGGTTTTGCTTTGAAAGAGCTGAATTACTTCTTGGCACAGCTTGTCTGAAATATGTAAAGCTCAGTGGAACTGTTAGTTTGATTATAGGGGGCAGTCTGTCTGGAAACTGGTAAAACCCACACATTTTATGTGTGCTTATATGTAGTTCTACTAAGACCATGTTAAACTCTGGTGGGATAATTCTGTGGCATTTTCAAATAATTTAAGTGATGCCATCAAAATTTGAATTGTAAGTTTCACTAAACCCTTACATACTTCATTATGAATCTTGTCCATGGCCCAAGGCCTTGTTTAAGACAATATAAATTAAAAATAATTTGGAGTATCAGTGTAAAAATGACATTCTAAATGTTCCTCACTCTCTGAGGCTTATGTTTTAGGGACTTTGCCGTAATTCCGAAAACCTTAGTTGTAAAGTACATCTGAAAGTAGGAATGTCCAAAAGAATGGCTCTGGGGATAAATTTAGATTCTTAATTGTGAAGCTCTGTTGCCACTTGTTAGAAGGTGGCCAGCAGGTCAGCTCACCTGCTTGGGGAGATAAATATATGAATGCAACTCTTGACTAATTTAATGGAGCCCTACCTCAATGTACAGAATGACAGTTTCACAGATCAAGTTTGGAGTATGAGTGATTTTCGGCTGTGGTAGGGGTAGGTGGGTCACTTGTCCCTTCTTGTCTCTTCCTGTTTGTAAACTGAAGACTGTGATTACCTCTCACTTTCATCGGGTTGTTTTGAGGTGAATAAAGGATAGGCAGACACTTTGAGATACTTTACGTTTTTCAAGAACATTAGTAACATTTTTTCTTAGATATTTTTCCTAATATACTAAATGTTGTGA